CAAATAGCTCTTGACGTTACAGACTTTAAACCGTAACACAGGAAACTCGATGCACGACTGCATCGTGTCGTTCACCCAATTTTAAAGCCACTACTGAAGCACTTTCCTATAACGTTAACGCAAACTGTCTCCGTCTGCGAGGTGTCTATTACGCGAAAAATAAAAATCATAAAGAAACATAGTGAAAGAGAAGAGGATATATTAGAAAACACTCTGTGTATATTTATACTAGTAAGTCAAAAATATATCAGAATTCATCGAATACTTCAACATCATTAAAAATTAATGCTATATGCCACATAAGAATACTGAAATTATATGCGTTACGAAAGGATTAAGTTTAAGAAAAACGCTGCATAAAATTTCTAAACTTTTTCGAAATTTCTAAAGTAAGACAAGCTTACAGTACTTAATTAAGAAACAAAATTTAATATTTTTGTATATATTTTATATATATTTTTGTTTATATTTACTTGTACTTTTATACACAATTTCCCGATTCTATGTATATAAGTATAAATATATTTAAAAAATCTAAGATTTTTTCTAGATTTTTATTTGCTATTGAGAATCACTTTCAAAGAGCGAAACTCCCTCGAATTCTCATCGAATTTTAAGTGACAGCCAATTCCGACGCAGATTTACGCGGATCGCGAATAAAAATTGATACAACGCCTACGTATAATTCTAGACGTGAAAACGCGAGCAAATCACAGATCGCAGAAAAGCCATCCCCGTGGCGTTACGTGACTCTTATATAGATAATGGTTATACACTCTTGCGAAAATCTTGCAGCGCGCTCGGCTCACACAGTTTCCGTGTTCGGCTTCTCGTAACCACTTTCGCCTCAAACTCCGCTCAGACACGACGCGGTGTTAATTTTAATGATACGTCTGGTAGCTTAGCGGCTGTGCAACAGCCGCTCTATGAATACGCATTTACATATTACTCGCGCGTCTTCTCAAAGATTATTTTTCCAATTCATACAAAGAATGGTTACGTAAAGCAGATACGCAATATGACAATTAATCTCTTCAATCGATAAGGTCTAAATGTTGCTTTTTCACATTCTTTAAAATTTTATTTCTGTGAAAAGTTGACAGTAACAAAAAAAAATGCACAGGAAAAGTATCAAGAATTAATCTCATATAATAATATTATAGAAATTATTTATAACTCATTCATGTAGTAAAGAATATTATATTGCGATGTGAAGCAATATAATGTAATGCATTGTAGTATAATATCATTTGTGTATTTCGAAATCGAGTTTCATTAATGAAGCAGCATTACCGTAAATTCAATTACCACTGATCTTCGTTTCGCTGCGACAATTTGCACGGTTTATATTATGGCATCGACTCAACGACGCGTGAGCTCACCACATTTCAAACGCACGAACTAGTTATAATAACCGGTTGACGAACTTTGCGCAAATATCCGGCTTCGCACAGTGTATCGTTAATCCATTGACGAGTCATAATTTCACTCTGTAACTACGTTCACTGCGCAAAAAGTTTTACTAATATTTCCAGCACGTTTTAATTATTATTAGATACTGCATTCTATAAAGTCTCATTATTTCAGTAAAATGAAATCATTTGAATATAATAAATTATCAGATAAAATATGGATTTTATTATCTCTCTAGTAAAGTAAATTTCACATTTCCTGATTATTATGACAAAAATGTATCTCTGAATTATATTTTACTTTCTACAAAATAAGCATGAACTTTATCGTGAATTCGTTTATCGTCGATATAAAGCCGATGGAATAGTTCTGCTCGGTTAGTCATATTGCACTTTTGTACATCGCGAATATTCAACCGGCATTTTCGAACGACATTGTGCACGACGGGATCGTCGTTCTTTTGCCAGCAGCGATAGATTTCGCGTGCCACAAGCGATCGCCGCAGACGCCTTTGATCGACCATGCGACGTTTTTTAATCGCGTTAAACGTTCCGTCGTTGCCCTCAATCATCCAGCTTCCACTTGTCACTCTTTCCCGTTCTCGCCTGTACTTCCCGGTCCAACCATCGACTACACGCGCGCGAGTCGACCTTCTCGGCTCTCTCCTCTCCGCGCGGCGCGGCGTCCGTTGTTTAATTAAAACCAGATCAAAATGACGTCCACCACGTTTCTGCGCGAAGCCCGGCGCAACGGCGTTTCAATGGTGACGACTTTTCAATTAATTCAATGTCGGTCTCGTTGGGCGATACGCCCAACGATGACGACGGATGCCGACGTGATTTCGACATCCTATAAATGTTACGACAGAACAAGAATGGCAAGTTACTTCACTCGTCTACTTAATTCTTTCTTGTCCCACCCGAATCTTGCAGCAATTTATAACAATGTATTATATATAGTAGAAAAAGTCCATACATACATTTTTATCAAATAATACGAAGATAAAGCAAAAAGTTTATCAGGAAATCATTATCAAAATATATGTATTTATTATGAAAATTCATAAACAATAGCTTACCTTTCTACTGTACCTATAATATAACCAGTATGTATTTCAAGAAAAAATGTTTTTCAGTTATTAGGAATTTTTTTAAATTTAAACATATCTTTTAATTGGCTCAATATTCGATTACGCACTGCTACATTATTATTGTAGAAAAGTGATTTGCCAGATTCTTCACATAAATCACCACACATTCTAGGTCTTTTCAGATCTTTTTTAATAATTCGAATGCATATAATGATTTGATGGTGCAAAATCAGTGAGATTTTTGTTCAAAGAATCGAAAAGCTCGCATTGCTCGATAAAGTGATAAAAACATAGAAATCATGTGGAAAAATATGCTACAATTTAAATATTTTTATAATAAATATATTTATACAATTTTTAAAAATAATTCTCTGGAAACTTTTTAATTGATCCTCCAAAGAAAAAAAAACATGTACACAACTGTGTAAAATAACGCGCATTTTTTTGCAATATGATAGAATGTTTTAAAATATTAAACAAAACACTTTTTTTTCCCCCAAAGTTTCCTGTGCACATTATAGTAATCTGTTTCACATTCTTAGCATACATATATGTATCGCCCCAAATATTTTTAATTTAAAATAAAATTTCCCACTCGATAATTTTTCCCACTCGGTTTTAAAAATCGCAATATTCAGCGAGCATGCATTATACGATACATCATACGATGAAAAGAATCGCAAATGCTTTTTCCAATGTTTGCTGCATAATCTCTAGACAAAATGTTGAATGCAGAATATTTGATTCGTTAAAACTTTTTTCGACAATATACAGAATATTTTATCAAATGTGAAATTGTCATCATGTTCTGGTTTGTGATCTCGTGTACGCATATATGCACGTACATGACTACGCAAGTATTAAGCTACGTATATCGATTAGATACAATAACTATACCTCTCGTTCTTTGCCTTACATAATGCAGCTACTCAAGATGAGCATACAAGAAATGTTTGCTTGAGATATTGCGACTATACAGGAAATTTACATTAACATTCTTTAATTCGTCTCACGCACATGAGACATAATTACATAACGCATTACCCCGTATGATATTATAATATTAACAAACATTCAAACAATATGTGGCGATTGTAATTTTATTATCGGTCGCGTGTGTTCGTTCTGAAATGTCAATATTAATAAAATCTAAAAAAAGTATCACTCTGTTTTTACATCAACATTGATAACAAATATTTATAAAAGAATTCGAACATATAAACAGCAGTATGAAAAATATCAAATTTTCTATCCATTTAGAAATAATATTAATTATATTAATTTTACTATTATTCTTCATTATCAATTGCAAAGTATCGCAATCACTACAATTATACAAATTCGCGTCGAAATTTGCTGAAAATATTTCAGTTGCTGTTATTTATGTGAATCGTCGTGTCGCGATTATTTGAAACTTACTCCTGACATGTATTCCATGACACAGTCAAGATGTAACAGAAGAAAATTGAGCTAGTTAGCTTCGGAGACGAGAGGAGAGCCAATCGAGTTAGTTAGTATGCGCCTCCGTTTCTCGCCATTACTCGGGCGATCTCTTAAATCCCATACGCAGTTACGGTGGTCGAACACTTCGAATACGAAATTCGAGCAGACCGATAATCAGAAACCGATGGCAAATCTAATTTCTCCAAGAATCGAATCCCTAAGATATATTCCACAATCGCGACATCACCCGGCGCTGTCAATGGAATATCTCGCAGAATGAACGTAGACAATTCGCCGATGAACAATTCCTTCCAGCTCACTCAAGTAACGACCAAAGTTGGAAAGCCGAAGTCCCGTTATTGGGTTATGAGGTATCGGTTTAGAAGGTCTTTGGGGTGAACGCGCACAATCTGAGAGGCTACACGTAGCCTCGAACCGTATATTGTTAAAATTGGACACAGTCTTTACACACTGTGGTCTAAATATACCCATCTTTAATCTCTAAAGCAAAAAAGGGTTATATTACGCCAGGGACACCAGGCAAAATTTCATATTATATTCAAAAAGTAAAAAAAGATATTTTTCAAAACTTGTGACAAAAATCGCATTTAGAGCGGAAAAAAAAATATTTTGTTGTAATTTTTGTGACAAATTGTTTTCAAATACTTGGTATTTGCACACATAATGTCATTAAATATATTAATATCATCAAATATAAACGGTGTAAGAGAGAAATTAATTTTCTCTCCATTCAATTCAGTCAAATCCTTATTTATTCAAGATAAGTAATGATCCTCTAAATTAGGCAGGGAATTCTCAAACCCTCAACGTTAAAATACCTTATTTACATTCCTATCTGCTGGTAGAGCAGCATGTCAGAGCCCGGGGCTATTTATCAACCATTTCGTCATTCTCTTCAAGCGAATTTTAATCATTTCACAAATTTTAATCCGAAATAAATGCGCGCACACATACCATCTGCAAGACTTACTTCTGTAAGTCTGTACTTGAAAAATGTAAAAATACTGCGTGCATGTAAAATAAAATCACTCACCACTCATGCTGGATATCGCCGCGGCGCCGACGAATTGAATGGCCAGGACGACGCCAAGCAGAAAAAATTTCCCAGAACCACCGCGTTTCGTTGCAACCGATCCACTCTTGACATTCGATGATCCTTTTAATCCCCGACGACCGACGACTCGTACGCCTGTTCGAAGGTTGCACTTCCGTGATCCTCTGCCGTCGTCGCCACTACCGTCCGATCGAAACACCGACGTCGTCCGCGTCACAGCCATAACTGATCACTTTCAAAATCCTTTTCTCTCGATCAGGCTCGTTTCGTTTCACCGTTCCGTCACTGCACACTACTTTTTCCGCCGAATCCTCGAATCACTCCAAAACTATCGATGGAAGCAGGAAAATCCAATTCGGCGCGTCACGGCGATTGTCACTGAAACAGTCACACAATCGGACGGTTATCATACACTGTACCACACCGGGGTGCAAGACACCCTCCACTGTCACGGTCGGTGCCCCCGCTGTCCCGACACTGCGGAGTGTACGAAAACAAACAAGTCACCCTTCGTTGTCACTGTTTTGGCTGCGCAACCGACTCTAGTGATTGGCGACGGGTCGCTCACTGTCAAAACAAAACACCGGCACGTTACCCGCAGCCGTCGCGATGGCGCGATACCTGGCGCGCCTTCGCGAGCCCGCTCGGTTTCCCCTAGAACTAACCGCACCGGGCGTCTCCGGAGAGCAGATCCCCCATAACGACAGATTTCGCCGTGCTCCGGCGCGCGACGAGTCGGATGCGACGTGTGAAAAGAGCGAGACAAAAGAAAAGATCGGCCTACAATCAAGCGTTTCTCTCGCCACCTCGCCGATCCCGAAAGGCGCTCCTAGTTTCGAGCCTTCGGCGAACGCGACTGCACGTGTCGCGACGCTGTTTTCCTGCGCGATAAAGAAAGGGGAACCAGCGTCGGAAGAGGGAGAGGAAAGTCACTCACGCGCGGGTGGGCGGGTCCCGCCGCGAACCCTCGAGAAGATTGACGAGGGGGTGGCCAGGCAACGGCAAACGTTGAAATTAAGAAAGAAGAAAAAAGACAAATACCCAAATAGAGAGATAAATAGAGAAAGAGAGAGAAAAAAGGAATTGAGAATAGTACACTGAGAAGCGCTCCACGGGAACACAATCGGAGCCGCGTGCTAAATCCCCCAACGCAACGTACTGCCGCGTCGAGACGCCCGGCGCTACTGAGGTAAAGGAGAACGCTGGAGAGCCCG